TAAAAGACTTAATAGTGACTTCATTAATGTTGTTACAAATGTGTTGTACTGTAATACACTAACGGAGTTAATGTGTATGTAAATTTATGTTAACAAATTGAAAAAAATTAACGTTAAATTCCTATGGAACTTAAAGGTACGGTTTTGCGGTCAATCTGATCCACCTCACTATTAAGACCACCTCGCTATTAAGACCGCTTTTGTCCAGTCCCCAAAGTGGTCTTAATAGCGAGGTTTCACTGTGGTTGTTATCAGCAATGGATCAAAATACCTATGATAACTATAGGCAATAGACAACTTCGTTTATATTTAACATACATAAATCAATACTATATTTAACAAAGGCAAAAGTAATCTATAAGATTCCCATAACACGATAACACCGGATTACATGTCTACGTTCTACATTGTCGGTTTCAAAATTCGACGAAAGCTAAGGGCGGTAAGGATTATACTTTTCACAACTGTCATTCTCATCCATATGCATTCCAATCCAAATGGCTGCCAAGTCATCTTGGAATCTTGGTTTTGTCGTAGGATGTCACGTGATCATGAGAAGGTGTCAGATGTGGCGCTGATCTCCTCTCGGTGGTGTGGAATGTCATTACAAGAAAACATTGGCACTACCCACAATATAGCTCTGATGTTGCCAGTTTTTTTCCATTAATTGTCATCGTTTGTAATCATCTGTCATCGTTTGCCATAATTTTTGTCATAATTTTGCAAAACATTTCTCCATTAAGAATTAAGTGTATAAATGTGTAAAAAGTTGTACAAATCGCAAAAAAGGGTAAAACATGACAAAGTCCTCGAAAATTTCTCAATCAAAGCATAAAGTCTTTCATAATTTTAAAGACTGGAAAATGGTCAAATAAAATATTGAATTCATTTTTCCAATTTTCTCATTTTTAGTTGCTGTGTATCTTTAAGGTTGTTAAATCAAATGAAAAGTTAGCAATTTCGCGTTATATTTCTTAATATCACCTTTGAATTATTTTTTAGAATCATCTTTTAAAAAATCGTCACTAGAACATGTTTTATTCGGGAATTCTGTATCTCTCAGTGGTTACATCCTTAAGTATCACTGTGTCCAAAAGAAGAAGAAAAAAAAAACAACAAAAAAACAACATATTAACAAAACGGTTTCATGCAAACAGTTTATTAATAGAAGACACTTTGTCTTAACAGCAAGGACTGCACTGCAATTATGATTGATGTTGAGTATCAACTTGAGTGATTCTTTTCCGTGCAAGAGTGAGTAAAAAGTAAACAGGATACAAGTTGACAACGATTGCGGATAAAAATGACGTATTCCATCATACTTTGTCTGCGGTAATAATGGGGCTTTCGAGACAAAAATAAACAAATTATGGTAGAGACCTCCTATTTTTGTAGTTTATTTTAGGGTAATTGGTTGTGAGGATAATTTGACACGACAAAAACACATATTGGAATGTATGAGTGTATTGAACCAGTCAGTCTTGATAGGAAAATATGCACCATAAAACCAAACCTTGTATGTATCTATATGTCCATTGTTGATAAAGAAACAACAATGGTAAAAGGTTGGAAATTTCAGTATGCTATAGTTTTACATCGACCGTGCCAATTAAAATTTTAAAAAATCTTACGATGATGTTAAAAAGTTAAATGCTCTCGTTTTACTCGATTTGACGTCATAAAGGAATTTAAAAATACCGTGCTATTTCTTCTGTCTTTCGTTATTATCTCGAGAGGAGCGTCTAATCAGTGCTGCATTAGTGTCAAAATATAATAACAATCGAACCTCATTATCATGAAGACTTTTGGGAAACGTCGAGTCATCAGAGTATTCAAGTTAATCGATTTTGAATATTTGGTATGGAGTTTAGCTGGGACCGACGAATTGCTTCGAATTAAAGATGGTCTTCGAGTTACACGCCTGCGAGATAACGAGGTTCGACAGAAGGTAAAACAAGACGACATATAAACTATTTTGTTATTAAAACTTTTTACTCGAAACAAATGCAACAAACTATGAAATATATTTATTGAAAGGAGTACCTTAACGAATTACACGGAATATACGGTTAGCTGTATTCTTTTGTATTGAGTTGACGAGAGAAAATTATTATAAAACTTCATTAATTAGTTTAAATTTCAATATTCAACAATTTTACATGTAACTATACATTTATATTTACATGAACGTGTGCACACATACCAGTAGGTGATGACCTAACTGTAATATTCACAGACTGCACCTAGCAGTTATACAAGTCGCCATTACCCAGAGATACAGGACAACGTGATTCAAGAACAGGACAGATGGGAGTCATCAATTTGAAAATAGCGACTGTCCCCGTTGTCTCGGCCAGGAGCACAAAATACATAGCAAGCTTGCATGGGAGGTCAAGATGGTGTGTGTGTGGAAGGGGGGGGGGTAATGCTAGTTGCTAAACACACACCGCTAAATCACCCCATCATTAGTAAGGATTATACAAAGGACACACAGGTAAATAACCCTATTCTACACAAAAGGATTAGGAGTAGAGCTCAATAATGAATTAAACTGACCCATACAGTTGTTTCATCCTTCTAGGATTCTATGTTGATACATTTTTAATTCTAGGAGGCAACTGAGGGAAACGCAGATTGATCTAAGGAAATGTCAAAATTCAGATCGGAAGGTACAATAACCACAAAATTCAATTTTAAAAATTTGTAATTTTTGTATGTGTGATAATCATGAATATCAAGTTTATATATAATTCAATACTCTATCGCTATTCGAATGAATTAACATTCATATAAGATTCTATATATTTTTTTAATGTGGCACGCACGTTACGATAAACATTCGATATCAAAAGTCCACAGGCAGTACCTATACGATACAATCTTGACCACTGACTCCAATCATTGACGATATCACATAATTTTGTCTTTGTTAAGATCATTGTGTCCGAAACCAGTGTTAAACTGTTTAGTTTAATATTCTAATACGTCGTTTAAGTGTGGTTCAAATGGATCATTTTCCTTTGACTTGCAAAACAACATCCATTTTTGAAATCTGTTCCATATTTGCGTTTTGTGAGCCCATAAACGACGGCAATATTTGTACTTTGCTTTGAACACCTGTTCTAGAAAGGTTTACCTCGACTGCCGAACAACGCCTTGTCCTGTATTTGTGATAACGGCTGAATTCGACGAAGGTTGCTGCTGTGAATCAATGCGTTGTTCGCCGGCTGTAAAACTACATATTTATTGCCTAACATTAGTCTTAGGATCTACGGAAACAATGACAGTGTTGTTTATAGACTAGTCATCTAGACAGTCTTAACTGATTTATCCTCCCGAATTCAATAAACTGTTGATGAAGCTGAAAAGAGGGAAATACAACATAGATCTTTATTTTCTCTCTTACATAAGAAAATAATCGTTACACTTTCTTCCCTGATTATTAATGTACAAGATATCTAGTCTACCATCCCATGACAATACACATGGAGGTCTGGTAATGGCAGTCAGAGTGTTGACAGAGGCTGAAACTGCCATTAGTTCTAGGTAATTGATATAGAATGTTTTCCAGTGCCCCCTGTATTTTGGTGCAATTCATCACTGCTCCTTAGTCGTGAACTGAACTGTAAGCCGTCAGGACTACCTTGTTATTGTCCATCCGCTACTGGATTTTGTGTAACTCCGCGACAGTTAGATTTCCTTGTCATTTCGTCTTTTGCATGCCTGTATTCGGAGGTCTGCCTTCTCAGTAGTGTGTCTAGCTTATGTCTACGACCTTCCCTGAATTATAGGTCTAACACACCTCCTCGTTTAAGATTTTGACATTTCCTTTATGGATTTGGAATTTTCTCATTCGCCTCAAAGGTTTCAACATGAAGCCTCTAAGCGTCACTGCGAATCACAGAGAGGCGAAATAGCCAGTTGGTACAGTTTCATTCGTTAATGGAAACTGCGGTATCTAAGACGTCATTTACTTGCGTGTCTTTAACACAATGCCTGAAACCTCTCAACAGATTTAGTTAATGTTTATAGTATCGTAACATCTAGTTCTCCATCTGATCATGATAAGGTGGTCATCGGTCAAGGTTAAAAGGTGACACTTTACATTTAACATCTTCTGCAAAGTCAGTAAACAATTGTACTTTTATAAATGGGATCGGGAACAGCAATGTCGTACAGAAATTCTCCATTTTTCTTGAAAAACAGCGACACAAAGACTTTCATGCATCCCCAGTGTAGGGTGATAATATGTCGCAATTGGTTCGATTTCCAGGCACTTGTTTCGAGTATCATGGTTTTCGTGCAAGAATTCGGCAACTGAAATAAAACGTAACGCATGGTTTTCAGAAACGCAACCTGATGGAAATCATGGAGAGGTTTTACGGTATAATGATTCTATTGGAAATAATAAATTACTGAACCTCTTGGATTTGTATCATGTACGATATCATGCCTGTTGGTGCTGTTGCTTTTTAGGTCAACGTGGTTGTTGCCCCTGATGAAATAGAAGACGCTAACTCTCCCGGAACACCTGCAGTGTTACATCTCGATTAAAGACAAATGTTTGAATATCAATTGGTATGACCCGGATGTAGATAGATTTGTCATAAAAAAGCTTATTTTAATGTTCCCGAAATTACATATTGGTTATATTTTGGTGAATGGTTGGTATTGTAAGCTCGGTAAAATCACGGTTTCAATTATCGTTAAACTGTTTGCCTGAGGAATCTATACCGAAATGTTGATAAGTGAATTTAATTATTTGATAAATAACTTATTGGAAATCTACAAAAATTAAATCGTCTTTTTTCCAGAAGTTTTTTTTTTTGTCCTGGAAATGACAATTCGTTGTACTGCATCACTGTTCTGTTTCTTGTTTGGCTATATATATATATATATATATATATATCGGTCAATTTTGAAACCGATAGTCATGTTTATATCAATGATAAAAACCAAATAAGCATACATTTATTGTGAAATTCATTTTATTTGCATCCATACGTGTAATAAGCATACAAGAGATCTGTATCATAACAATTTAGAACCACATCATATGAAAGGTCAAGGACGGTTTTATGGTTTATCTTGAATGCACTCCGACACCAATGCTTCTACAATTTGTAGCGGGACTTCTTTACATGGTAGATGAAACCGATATCACATGTTTCAAGCGTATGTAATGTCCATGAAGGAATGAGTTATGAATGAGAAAGAATATATTGTAAGAGACGATAAATGCGAAAATGTCATTAAAATATAAATGAAAATATATACGTGCAATCTTAAAAATAAAATTAGATAATTTCAATATAATTAGAATGAATATGTATTTATGAAACAGATGTTATTAGGGAATGTGAGTCTTTGTTGGTACCATCATGTAGATTATAAGTTCTTATAACACATCCAGTAGAAGATTAGAGAGTGATATTTCAATGACTACATGACGAGATGACGAAAATGTTCATCATGATGAAGTCGAAGAAATTGATTTTATCAAAAGAAAACTCTACAAATCACTTTCAAAAGAAACAGAAAGTTATTGATTTTTGCTGTGGTGTCATACACTCGTTTGTATGATCTGATCTCCAGTTAGGAAGCCATTTGTCTAGGGCACTAATGTCAGCCCCGGTTTTCTCAAAGCAGTTGAATAAATAACGGTTGTTATGACGTGTGGTGTAGTACAGCGGTGTTCGTCCGAAACTGTCTTTGGCATCAACATCAGCTCCACAGGAAATCAGATATTTACAGATATCAGCATCACCTCTATAGGCAGCTATGTGCAGTAATGTGCAACCGTTCGGAAGACCTTCCGGTTGACCCATTTGAGTGTTTATATCAAAACCAGAATTAACCATTACTTTCAGTAATTTCTTTGAACCTCGTAACGCGCATGCGTGAGCTGGGGTCCATCCATCAACATTTTCAATAAAGACTTTCCTGGCAAAGTTTCGTCGCTTTTTTACCAATTGTTTGGCTTTTCGAATCAAGCGAGATTCATCTTTTTTTAACATGGCGAGCACATTCATTGCCATGGCATTAGCTAGTCTTTGACATTCTGACGCTGATTGCTGGTAAGCCACCATAGTTAGGTACGACTGGTCACTATATTACGGAAGGCAATATCTGCAAAATACAAATTTTAAGAGCATTGTTACTTTTGTCAACGTACACCGATTGTTCATGTTGTATTTCCGATAAAGATATATTTGATATTATTATTATTTTTTTTTTTGTAAATTGACTTGTTTAATCACAAAATCGTAAAAGACAATATTGACATGTTTTTATTGAAATATATTATCATTGGAAATTTCATCAATGAAATCTCATATTTCACCCTTTATAAAACTTAAGATAGAACACTTAAAATAAATTGAAATGTTTTACTTTTTGATTAAAATATGAATGGTTTTATCAATGGCGCATTGATTCTACGGTTACCGACACACAAAAAAACCAAACCACACATCATGAATATGTTATAAATCGCCTAGTATAGGAATATTTATTTTTTATATAGTATAGTCTTTACAGAGATTACAGATCCTGTACCAGAAAACTGATTTTAAATGCTATCACATACTATAAGTTTTCCTAGACGTCATCCAAGCATTTCCTTAATTTCATGCCTTTCTGCCAATGGACTGGGGATTTATTTTGTAATCAGATGGGAAAGACCTATTACCAAGGTAAGTGCAATGGTAACAATACATATTTGATATATGTAAAATTAGATATAAAATATACATCCCTCAGAAGTACTAGATTGTCACCTATCCTTAAAAGTAGAAATGGATTATATGTATCTCTGCATTGTATTATACAAACTTAATATTAAACTAACGAGGCTTAGTGCATGAGGCAATTTATCGTATATGAAGCGATCATTCATTCGTCTTTAGAAAGGTAGTGTGTTAGCTTTATTTTTGGTGTAAGACTCCAGCCATGATTTAACATTTCAAGCATTCAGCAACTCCAATCTACTCTTACCTTTATCTACTTTAAATCGTTTAGAAGAAAATAAGTTTCATTTAAATATTGATAGTCTATATTGCTCGCAGCTACATCGTTTGTATGTATCACTCTGTTGTAAGGCCATATTTCCCAACACATCATCGATTCGTTCTGATTTCGGTATACGCCATTGCTAAAATAGGGGATCCCAAAATAGATATCTTTATAGAGGTAATGAATATTTGATGGTGATGAGAGAAACAGTTTCAGATTTATTCCTAATTATCATGATATTTTCTCTAAGCGACATTTGTATATTATGGTTATAGATAAATACAGACTTCAAATATAAATCCATTTTTCTTGTTATACTGCTCCTACAAAAAGCGTATTAATACGTAACACATGGATACAACTACAGCTCGAATGCTGGCTGCCTGCGTGTACAAGGAAAGTGATAAATATAGTTTAGTTAATTACAGGCCCGTATCCTGTGGCTATATCTAGATTATCGTGTAGAACGCTGATGACGTCACTTGGATATCGTATCAGATTTAACAATGTGTGTTTTGCCCAAGTTCCCATGAGATCGCCGGAAGTAGGAGTAGAAATCATGTTCCAAAAACCACTTATGAGTGACGTATGAACTGCTATAAATAGAATAACTGCTGTTTCATTGAGTAGTTATGATTAACTTTGTGTACTTACAGCAATTAAATATTTCTAATGTACTGATACATCACCAATAATGCTACAGCAGAACCCCCTATCAGCTATCAAACTGTCTAGTAAAATGTTTTATCAGATTTGTGTCTGAATATCTGGTAAGTATTCATTTGACATAACAAATGTGTTTTTAGGTCATGTATTGCATACCTAAAAGTTAAAGTAATAAATGATTATTTGGTCTTATTCTACCGTTACGTTTTCAGGAGTCTCTGTGTTAGTCTTTCATATGTTCATATTTTGTCCTAGTTTTATTGAATTTGAGTTTGAATTATTATTATGTTGACATGCTGGTATACTCTGGTTTTGCTATTGTTCACGAAACAGACAAACTCCAGTTGTATTATGGATTTAGAGATGTACTCATATACTGTAAAAATCCTTTATATGTCATTTCCAATAAGTGTGTCAAATGTGAAAAACACATATATTTGTGAGGAACTTTAGTTGATTCCTTCAATAATATATTGATATAAGTAATTGCCAAAGTATTGTGATATTTCAAGCAAAGCATTGATGTTAAAAGCGCGGTAATCTAGAGTGACATTTCTGTATTTACGTCAAATCTTGTTTGTAGATTCTTACTATTTATGAGAATGGATAAGTAGACCTAATGGTTTTTCTAAATCTAAAACAAAAAATGAGATGTCCTTAATTTCAAATTCATCAAATTGAAATGATACCAATTATTTTTTCAATACTTTTTCATTATTGCTATTTAGTAACAAACTATTTTTTCCCACGTTTTGCTTATTAGTAATCTATTTGAATATAAAATATCCAATATATCATTGATACATACCTTTGTTTGAATCGCAAAACCACAATGCTCCCGTTGATGTCCTTTTGTCAGATATTTCGGTATAAAGTCAGAGAATGATTTTCCACTGATAGCTGAATCTAGATGTTCACCGATGTTATATATAAATATCGCTGTTTCTCTGTGTTCTTCAAACTGCCGATCAATATTTGCCCATGTTGTTATCGTGAGAAACAATAGCTCGTGAGACGAACAGCACGTGCCTGCTGGCGATGTGAATGCAAAACGATTTGCTTCGCTTGGAATTTATAGGCAAAATGTGGGTCAAAGTTCAAACGGTCTTGCATGTGCTTAGCTTGCTATATATGCTATAGCAATGAAATAGTTAGAGAAGGAAGTCACATAGCGGTTTGTATAGTGTGGTGTTGTTTTTTCCTTTTACCAGATAAGTACCAAGTGGATCAGAGAATGAATTTAAACCTTAATTTCATTGGTTTGCGGTTAACACAGCACTTGACATTTCTATCAACGGAGGAAAATATGGCATTGCCTCATGTTATGTGAAGTGAGATGTGTTCGACTGTCGTTAGTAAGCGCGGTGCTGTTCCTGTCGATAATCTGGCTCTAGTTTAAGAACGCGACGTTCCTTACTTGAATTAACCAGGAAGTTGTCGTCGATGAAATAGAAGAGGCTTATCCTTCCAAAATTTATAGTCTTAATCTCATTGTTCTTTTGTAAGTTTCCGTAACAACTTTTCTTTTCTAAGCAGCATTGTTTTGTTCATATCGCTACTGTTTTGTGTCGGTTTCAGTTTTGTTTTTTATACAGTCTAATGAGACTTATATATCAACTTGGTAGTAAGATCACTAAATGACTTTATGGTTGTTTCTTATTTAAAAAGGCAGGAAGTAGCACTTGGTACTAACAATTTTGTAACCCTTAAATCGACCAGTGGAAGGCAATTACATGTAAATGTGAGAGAGGAACGTAACATGTTATTCGGCAATTTTTCATCGAGGTACTCACAATTGGGTTACGTATTTATAGAGTTAGTCTTGTACGAATAAGCGCTTTGTTACACATTTTTGGTACATTCTAATTTAGAGATTCATCTTTGTACCTGTAGTGGAGATATTAGTACGGTTACGATGTGGCAACAGTCGTGGTCATTTGGAGACGGTTTTCAAGGACGATATATTCAGTAACGCTGGGTTCTATTGTGCCTCAGATTGAAATATCATAACCTTTGGTAAAATGAAATGCTTATCGACAAGGAGAGAACGCGAAATTCAATTTTAATCACGATTTACGCGCAATATGTCGACAACTGACAGGAGTCTCTTTCTTTCGTTCCAATTTTACCTTCATTGCAATCAAGATTGTATTTGTTGGCATGCGGGGACTTCCTTTGTTGGTTTGATATGTCATAGCTTAGGGACCGTAACAGTTTGACCTGCTCACCAAAACCTCAGGTAGACCCAAGAGAGATACTAGAAAAAACAAAGCACCTGCCTTTTATTTAAGGAAGGGAGGCAATGAAACTGTATATATGGGCGATTGTGACGACACTGCTGTGCAGTGAGAGCAGTTGGCAAAAACATTCCTGTCAGTCCTACACGCAGGGTAAGTTTGACAACTCTATGTGTAGAGGTTTGAATAGGACACAATAACGGTTTAGTAAGGGGCTCGGTTTTTCTTTTTGTGATTTCGTGATAAGTTTCATTTTGTAGCGGTATACTGTAAAATCGTTTATTTTCGTGGGAGGCTTTTTTTTATTGATTTCATTGAACTCAAAAAAGTTAAGAATATACAGTTCTTTTGATTTACGAAATCGAATGATAACGAAAATATAGTTTGTGTGGAAAACCATGAAATTTGAGCGCCACGAATTTACAGCATTAAAAATTTTATAGTCTCAAATAGTTTGTTTATTTATCACTTTATATATTGTATGTGTGTATTTATATTGTGTGTGACAATTCAAAACCAAATAACTACACATCTGATTGGCTTAAATCAAAAGGGTCGCTGGAACTTACCCACCAACCACTTACCGCAGCACGCAATGGCAACTGCCGAACCGCCTCCCGGTTTCCATTTAAAGGCTTGGAAACCTTCGGCACTTGCCGTAAACGGAAATACGTAGTCTAATACGGAAGGTACCGAAAATTCCCGAAATTCCTTTTGAATGACGTAAATGTATTTTGTGAGAAGCAAATACCTGTGTGGCACAATAACAATCTGTTTAAAATCATATGCCTATTATCTTCATTTATAACAATGTGAGTCTTCTTGATCAAATTTCGCTTGGTTTAAGTGCCTTGTTCATAATAATCTAGTACGTCTTGATTCAGCTTCTCTGTTAGTTTTGGAGAGTCCGGATGTGTTTAGATTAAAGTGTTTTGCAAACACGGGACACTTAGTGTAGATAACGTGTTCGGACATGTCTTCGAAACTCTGATCATACGTTTGCTTAAAAGTGTTTTAAAATAAGCTAAACAAAACTTCATATATATATCAATAAATTAAAAGAAAAACACACAAACGATTGAAATAATACGAAAATAAAAATCATAAGAAGAAAACAAAATCAAAGGAAATCTATCTTTATATATTCTAAATTTTGGTTTGTTTCAAAACTAGATAGATGGAACAGCAAAATTTATATAGGTATTGAAAATGGTTTAAAATGCGAACGACATATCACATTTGAACTAAAATAGATTGATATGCGTATAAGATATAAGCTCGATGACTGAGTGTCATTTACTGATATGAAATGTCGCATTGTCATTAAATCCGTGACCAGACCGCGTTGTTTGTACGTCATAACTTTGTTAACCAGTAATCTGTGAAATACTATGATATTACACGATTGGATAGTATAGCGAGAATTTTATCATCGTTTGAAAGAAACTTCTAGAAAATATTTTGAACTCGTCCATGTATCTCCAGGTCGGTAACGATTTATGCAAAACAAAATTCAAGATTGGTTTCCTTTGTGCATATTTACATTCTTAAAATATGTCAAAAAATTTCTAATAAAAGAACGTTTCGTTACCTTGTTAAACAGACAAGGCTATGCATTGTGTGGATCAGATGGTGTGAACGCTAAGCAGCTTTTTATCAGTAAGACTTTTCAATGTTTAGGGACGTTCTCAACAGGATCGGATTAAGAAAAATATTGTTTTAGACTTGAATGTGTACATGATCTCGCACGTGCGATTATCTTTCTAACAAAAATAGCTTACACACTGTGAGATGTAGCAGAACATGTCACTTAAATCGTCAGCATCGTTCTGTCCGCTGGGAGATTACGATGAATTTCTCCCATGCCAACGTCAATCATCTGCTTGAACATGCAAGATGGCAGCCATATTTTGATTAGCAATGATTTCCAACGTTTATTCGTGATTCATTCGGTGATCAGGTCAAGAAAAATTATCCAATAAACGCGTCTTATTCCCGTACGTTTAGAATGGCCAATTAAACGCTGCATAAAATCTTGAATTCTAATCAGGTGACTAACCTTTTCGTCATTTGTACATCTATCACAAATGTGCATGTATCTTTGTGATATCGTTTAGCAAACATCAACATATCAATAATATTGAGAAAAAAATATTCGGTTTCCATGGCGTCGATGGTTTTTTTTCTAATCTATCTATATATCTGGTTTATAGACATTGGAGTTGTAGGGGGTGTTGTGAAGGGTGTAGAGCTGGGGTTGGAGTTGTAGGGGGTGTTGTGACGGGTGTAGAGCGGGGGTTGGAGTTGTAGGGGGTGTTGTGAAAGGTGTATAGCTGGGGGTTGGAGTTGTAGAGGGTGTTGTGACGGGTGTGGAGCTGGAGGTTGGAGTTGTAGGGGATGTTGTGAAGGGTGTAGTGCTGGGGGTTGGGGTTGTAGGGGGTGTTGTGAAGGGTGTGGAGCTGGGGGTTGGGGTTGTGGGGTGTTGTGAAGGGTGTAGAGCTGGGGGTTGGAGTTGTTGAAGATGTTGTGAAGAGTGTAGAGCTGGGGGCTGGGGTTATAGGGGGTATTGTGAAGAGTGTAGAGCTGGGGGCTGGAGTTGTTGATATGTTGTGAAAGGTGTTGAGCTGGGGGTTAGGGTTGTAGGGGGTGTTGTGAAGAGTGTAGAGCTGGGGGCTGGGGTTGTAGGGGATGTTGTGGAAGGTGTAGTGCTGGGGACTGGGGTTGTAGGGGATGTTGTGAAGGGTGTGGAATAGGGAACTGGGGTTGTGGGGGTGTTGTGAAGGGTGTAGAGCTGGGGTTTGGGATTGTAGGTATTGTTGTGAAGGGTGTAGAGCTGGGAGTTTGGGTTTAATGTGGTGGTGTGAAGGTTGTAGAGCTGGAGGTTGGAGGGTAGGTAGTGTTTTGATGAGTGTAGTGCTAGGGGTTGGGGTTGTAGAAATAGCATCATAAGGTTCAGGCAGAGATATCGCCATTATTGATGCGGATTTCTGACTCTCCTCAAAACCCCCTTAACAATCAGAAATGCCTCCCTCGTGTTTGAATCTGTAACAGTAAGATTGTATTTCATGACAACTTGTTTGGAGTAGTGAATGTTTATCTAACCCGGAACTTTAAGATTACTTACACTCCATTCTTCAATGACAGATATCCTTTTCAGAATAATCATCTCAGTTTCCTCATACAGCGACTGTAAATGAATTAGATGAAGCTATGGATAATTTACTAAATCCATGTTGGAGATGCTGCATTTAAGTCTTTCATGATATAGAACGCTAATTAAATATCAAATCAAAATGTTACCAACATAATAGAGTTTGTTAATTTGTTTTCTTCCATTGATAAAACCAACTGCTTTAATATGAAATAAATATCAATAATCATATTTCCATATCTTAATATGGTAATTAAATTATAGTGTTTGGTATTATGTTATTCGCGGTTATGTCGTCAGTTGTATTGTACTCAAAGATTCTTCTACTAACACAATTGATCGAATATAGTGTAAAACATCATTATGATTATCTTGTGTCTACGTTTCAACATTTTAGTAAACGACATACTTTCTCAACCGAGTCGTTATTTACTCGCTCTCCATTTTTTTTTTTTTTTTTACAAAAAGAACGATGCTTTTTTATTTTTGTTTTGTTGTTGTTTAATCCAAGCCTCTTTATAAAGGTTTCACTTTCAGTAGTTTAGTGGGCAATATTATCCTGGTAACACAGCTTTTAGGGACTACTTATCTAGTAATGTTACTTTTTACATAGTTAGATTCTGTCAAACCATTTATTTTTTTAAAATCGTTACATTAATATATCAACGAACTGCTGAAATTGGTACCAGCAGACATGTTCAGCTATATTTATCTACAACATCAAATGTCTATGAAAACGTAAGTGTTTGAAACACCAAGAACATTAAGCACCACGATACAAAATATGAAAGACACAACGAAAAACATCGAATGAAAAAGCTGACATCAGACGTACAGCCGAAGTGACAGATTATCACTGAAGGACGATTGTGGTCAGATAATCACTGAAGGATGACTGTGGTCAGATAATCACTGAAGGACGTCTGTGGTGAGATAATCACTGAAGGACGATGGTGGTCAGATAATCACTGAAGGACGTCTGTGGTCAGATAATCACTGAAGGACGTCTGTGGTCAGATAATCACTGAAGGACGTCTGTGGTCAGATAATCACTGAAGGACGTCTGTGGTCAGATAATCATTGAAGAATGTCTGTGGTCAGATAATCACTGAAGGACGTCGGTGGTCAGATAATCACTGAAGGACGTCTGTGGTCAAATAATCACTGAAGGATGACTGTGGTCAGATAATCACCGAAGGACGTCGGTGGTCAGATAATCACTGAAGGACGTCTGTGGTGAGATAATCACTGAAGGATGTCTTTGGTCAGATAATCACTGAAGGACGATTGTGGTCAGATAATCACTGAAGGACGACTGTGGTCAGATAATCACTGAAGGACGTCTGTGGTGAGATAATCACTGAAGGATGACTGTGGTTAGATAATCACTGAAGGACGTCTATGGTCAGTGGTCAGATAATCACTGAAGGACGTCTGTGGTCAGATAATCACTGAAGGACGTCTGTGGTTAGATAATCACTGAAGGATGTCTGTGGTCAGATAATCACTGAAGGACGATTGTGGTGAGATAATCACTGAAGGACGACTGTGGTCAGATAATCACTGAAGGACGTCTGTGGTGAGATAATCACTGAAGGACGATTGTGGTGAGATAATCACTGAAGGGTGTCTGTGGTCAGATAATCACTGAAGGACGATTGTGGTGAGATAATCACTGAAGGACGTCTGTGGTCAGATAATCACTGAAGGACGTCTGTGGTCAGATAATCACTGAAGGATGTCTGTGGTCAGATAATCACTGAAGGACGATTGTGGTCAGATAATCACTGAAGGACGATTGTGGTCAGATAATCACTGAAGTACGTCTGTGGTCAGATAATCACTGAAGGACTATTGTGGTGATATAATCACTGAAGGATGTCTCTGGTCAGATAATCACTGAAGGACGTCTGTGGTCAGATAATCACTGAAGGACGTCTGTGGTCAGATAATCACTGAAGGATGTCTGTGGTCAGATAATCACTGAAGGATGTCTGTGGTCAGATAATCACTGAAGGACGATGGTGGTCAGATAATCACTGAAGGACGTCTGTGGTCAGATAATCACTGAAGGATGACTGTGGTCAGATAATCACTGAAGGATGACTGTGGTCAGATAATCACTGAAGGATGACTGGGGTCAGATAATCACTGAAGGATGTCTGTGGTCAGATAATCACTGAAGGACGATGGTGGTCAGATAATCACTGAAGGACGTCTGTGGTCAGATAATCACTGAAGGATGACTGTGGTCAGATAATCACTGAAGGATGACTGTGGTCAGATAATCACTGAAGGATGTCTGTGGTCAGATAATCACTGAAGGATGACTGTGGTCAGATAATCACTGAAGGATGACTGTGGTCAGATAATCACTGAAGGACGTCAAAGTTTGCCAAGGGTGAAAAAAAATCGTGCTCATTACTGACTTTAATTAATAGAAACTTCCATATTTTGTATTCATTTCAAAAATAAACTATGATGTCACATTTCAGTACAATAACAAGCCGAACATAAATAAATGACCAGTGACCTGTGTCTGTCCTGTAAATAAAGTGTAGTCGCCAAGTAGTTACAATATAGTGAGTACCATGTCATACAGCTATAGGTACAGTATATAAGTACTGTTGTTGATTACTTCAATAATTACAACATTTCCAGAAAAAAGTATAAAACAAGTACATAACCTAACCATAAAACAAATATTTATCATTTGAAATCTTCTCTTTGCAAACTATCATGTTTCCCTCGAGTTTAGGTCCTAAAAGAATTCAAGAAGGTGAGCGATTGTTTTTCATCCCCTGATTCAGAAGAGACCTGACCTGTGTTTCTCCTGTACCTCATTGTTAAAATCATACTTAGACAGGGATTACCCTTAATCACAGTATATCCGTAAATCTTCAAAGACGTAAACATTTATCGTCAACAATATATCAATTCTCTCAGATAATATTTATCTTGGAGATTAATTACACGAGCCTGTCAATGGATTGCATTGAATCCCTGGCGAATCGTAATAAGAATAGGTCCGTATTGAAAAAGAATTTCAGTTTCTCAATATTTTATTAATCATGAAGCTATATAGAGCTCAACTACGAACCTTTGGCAAAAATTACCAATAAATTTTTAGTTGAATTCCTATATAAAGCGAAACATCCGCTCGATGCCAATATGTCAACGTCACAGAGGACATACGTGATAGGTGAAATTAAATAATGAAAATCAAAAACGTGTGCAATGTCTGAGTTTATTATAAAAAAAGGAAGACCTTTGACAGAGGTTGGATATTATCTAGAATAGTCTACTGGAGCCTCACTCAACCTCCAAACCTACACAAACAAACAAAAAACAACATAAAACACCTTTCAACCAATGCGCAAACGTGCTGAATATAGATATCTGTATCTGAAATCTCAAGGAAACTTCGGATCACAATTTTAAATTGATAGTTTCACTTTTTTCCCTGTGATATTAGCAACAAGGAAACCTTTGTTGAGCGTGTAACATATAAGTTTTGTGATACAAATACGGCAAATAGTCTATTGAAGGTATCCCTAAATATGCTTGTAAAATTGTCTTCGTGCAGCAGTCGATATCAAATGAAGGTATATATAGCTCATAAGTAAGATACAAACAAACCCATTGCGTGTTTACCGCATCAATTCTTCGTGTCAAAATAGATTGAGTTGTGGGTATATTTAAAAGCGAATCTGTAAAACACGTGTTGTAGAAACCACGTGTTGTGGAAACACGTGCCATGTCTGGTCATGTGTTCGTTGCGTTTTTTTTATGAAGATGGATTCAAATAAAGATAATTATCTTTATGAAATAGGTTCGTTTTAGCTTCCAATTATACAAAAATTCATAAGTGACATGAAAACTTCTAAAAGCATGGTGTGTCTTGGAAATTCTATTGTAACTATGATTTTAAAACCTTCGATCGATGTTTCAAAAGATTTTTCTACCCTGTGCAAATATAGGAGTGTCATAAATGATTCAATAAGTTCCGTTTCTTATACACGTGATGCCGACAGGCACCGCATCAGAACTGTAGAAACATTCAGCATTGATGTATCAACGGAATCTTTACAAAGACGCTTTCGTTCTCTTTCTACCAACACGTTTCTTTGCTTGTTTACTGTATTTGTCACCTCTCTCCATCATCTCATCTTCTTGTAGAAGTTGGATACTATCTCACTGAACAGCATACAGAAGACCCGTCGCATGTTATTCAAAACGATTTGGGTAAAACTTCACACCTAAGGACAAAGAATAAACAAATGTCTGTTTTCATTTCAGCAAATACCTAGATAAATCAAACATTCTTGTACAAACACCACCGTGGAAAGATTGATGTCACTTTTAAAAAAGAGCCTCTATTACATCAATCCAATGGGTGCACAATGAGAACAAAAAAAAATACATTTAATCTCTAAAATAGGTTCAAGGAGAATAATAACTTGGGCTCAGAGAGAATAATCGACCGCTTCATCAACTACACCCGCCACATAGCACATGGAAAGTAACCTATATTCATGGTCTGCCGTCAAAGTGCAAGTTGTGGCCATTGCGGTCCTCAGGGAGGCGTCAGTAAAGCTAGAGGCCAAAAAGCATACAGATAAAGGGAGATAATCGGCCTAACATTGAAAAATCGCACAACTGGTGCATTTACATTGACAATCCGGTGAATTTGATAATTTGGAGTGTAAAATAATTCTAAATCATAAAAAAAGTTAATAATTTTGGGTTCTACTCTATAAACTAGACAAATCGACACTAAATTTATCTAAACAATGATAGCAAGGAGTGTTTGTTTGCCTG